CACAAATTAGTAACTAACGTAAGACATAATAGGATTTACATATGGTGTCTACAGCATGAACATGTTGTCCAGAGCGATTATTGTAGAAGCTGTGAAAGGAAACAGTCATTGGTCCAGATATAGAACATGTCAGACATGACAACCAAGAGACAACGTTTTAAATGACATCAAGTAACAGTTTAAAAATGAAGAACATTTACATCCAGAGTCAATAAACTACAAGCTGGGACTCTTTGATGTCCTGCTGTGAGTCCTGCTCTGATTTTATCATAAAGTTTTTCAGGTCAGCAGAGCTTTCGGACCCTGAATGCGTTCATTTTATTTGCCCTTCTTTGCTGTTCAGACTATAGCTGCCTTTTCCCCCTCTGCCTGCTGGATGTTCAACCCAAACAATGAGATTATCTCTGCATATTTATTTAGTATTCGTGTAACACACAGAAACAAATATTTATTTTATGTTTAACATCAGTGTGTTGCTGTCAGAGCCCTAAAAGCTGAAATACCGAAGACAAAACATTCCCCATACTGCACATCATGGCGTCACTCTCGGCTGTATGAACGAGACATAAAAACTTTTCAGCTTCTCTGCAGCTTTGCTTGCACCAACTGTAAATAAATACTCGCAGTCCCCTGAGTAGTGTGTGTGTGTGTGTAAAAGAGAGTGTATACGAACACTGGCAGGAAGACTTGTACACAGCAGCAGGATTACCACCCCCAGACTGGGACCACCCTGACTTTAACACTTAATCCAGGAGGAAGTGGAGCTGCATCACAGGGCTCATGGGGCCACCACCCCCTCTGCACACACACACACACACGCATGCAAAGTAGGACTTGTGTTGCAATGGAGTTTGTATCCTTCCATATTCAAACATACACACACTTCATTTGAGCAGTTCAACCAAAACAAACCAGTTAAGATTTATACTGCACAGCTGGTCTTGTACAAATCCAGCATGTTTGCAAAACGTGGTATTTCCAGAGTATCTGTGAATGCATCACGGTTGTGTTTGTAAGTGCACTGCTTTCAGTGTCAAAATTCATTAACAGACGTTACAAATAAGAAAAAAAAAAAGAGTTCTGGGAAGTATCCTGATGTTGGACCACTGAGCGAAACGTAGGAATGATTATTGGTTATTGATTTATTGGATTAGAGGTGATTTAGAATAGAAACACATTTTTGTCTCCATTAAGTCGAGCAAGATAAACAAGAGACGGAGAGGAAAACAAAGGATTACACAAAGCGACTTTAAAACAAAGCTAAATACACTCACTGAGCACTTCATTAGGAACACCGTGACCCTTTTAAGCAGTAACAGTTTGCAGATGGACAGAGATGCACATGCAGGAAACCTGACGACATATTTCCATTTTACATCAGCCTGTGTGAATTCAATACGCGGATCAACATTCAAAGCTATGCAGGGAGGATGCACTCAATAAACTGGGAATAGTTTTATTTATCACTGCTGCAAATAAACAATGTGCGGCACATAAACAAACAAAAGGCTCTAATCAGTATTCGTGTGACCTTTAAAACAGAACCAGCTCTCCTGGGTGCAGTTTACAGTAGACTCAGTGGGCATGGAGCGACTGTGACCGTGAAAAGTTCCACAGAAGTCATGTTGCACCTCTAAGTCTTTTGTGTTTCATCTCGTTGCAGTTGTGCCTTCACAGTTACAGTGCGTCTCTTTGTAAACGTTTACGTTTCTTTGTGAACGATTGCTTGTTTCACTGTCTTTACAGACTTTGTGTTTCTTCATACTTGTTGCATATCTTTGTAGTTGTTCTTTTACCCTGTAAAACCTGAGCCATGAAATAATTGCCAGAAGATGTAATTTCTTTGAAACTGGAATATTTATTTAACCTCAGTTTGCAGTTTATAGAAGTTTTAATTTGTATCATTTCTTGACACATCCAACATTTTTTGTGTAATTTATTGCTCACAGCAGAAGTGCGTGAGTCGGATTTCATGCGTCAGATTTTTCATGGGAAAAAGAATCACGCCGGCACACCGTTTTTTCCATTTGTGGTGATTTATTTGTTGTTGAACTGGAGGTGTTTAGTGTCTCTTTGTAGTGATTTCGTCGCTCTTGTAGTTGTTTTATATAACGATGCATTTTCTTTTTCTTTTCCAATTCAGGGTCACGGGCAGTTCTTGGAGAGTCTGTCCCAGCTGCCATGGGGTGACGGGTACACCCTGCGGTAAGGCTAACACAGAGGGACAGACAGACAGACAGCCATTCACACTCGTGGGCAGTTTTGAATAGTCAATTAACCTCGCCCCACTAACTGCACGGACTGTGGGAGGAAACTGGAGAGAACCCCCACAGACACATGGACAACACAGGAAGGCCTCGGCCAGATGGTGGATTCTAACCCCAGACCTTTTTGTTGTGAGGCAACGGCACTAACCACTTTTCTACCATGCTGTTTTATTTATCTTTGAGGCAATTTTGCAGTTGACTGACTTGCCAACAAGAAGTGCTTACACAAGCTCTGAATAGCCATATTGAGGCCCCGAGGCCTTTGGCTCGTAGAACAGCAATTCTTCCGTAAGGCTGTCTCTGTTTTCTGTCTCGTCATTTAATTCCAGATTGAGTCAGAGATTCAATCCACTTGCTGCGTGACTCCTCGTTCTGAAGAAATGTCTTCACCAGCGCACGTTTGGGCTCGTTTTGCTGCTGCAGACTGAACCTGGGGCGATGGCTCGCCTGGTATTCTGACCTGAGCTAAATGTAAAGCCTTTCACTCAGTATGTGGCATGGCCGTGTCACATGTGACTAGGCCTGGTATTAATTAGACAGCACAGAGTGCTCACGGTGTGATGCCGCTGACTGGCCTTTCACAGCTCATTACATGGTATCCAATCAGAGCGCAGTCAGCATGACTGTTGTTTATTTATACGAAGAGCTGAAAATGGCCGAGTGCGGGCAGCTCGGAGCGAAGCTCAAACACTGGAACACTCAGGCACATTGTACTGTTGCAGAGGGTCGCGATCAACACCCGGCTCTCATTGACACAGACGTATAAAAGCTCAAAGAAACAGGCACCGGTCTGCGTACCTTTACTGTCATGTCAACTTTTCCAAAAGAAAAAGTTTTTTTCTTTTTTGGAAGAAAACAACAACACTTTCTGTAAGATTAGTATACAAAAATATCACTTTATGGATCCAGTATACCAACACTGCACTGACTTTAGCCTCATCACTGACCTCAACTCTATACAGTGGTTACACATACAGGAAGAAGCTAACAGCACAAACTCTGGTTTTTGATTACGCAGTTTGCAATTTCTGCCACTAGGGGTCTCTCTCTCTCTTAACAGCAGGTAAAGTTTGAACCTTACATATGAATGGTCTAAAATGAGTTCTCTAAACCTTTAGCGTAATATTCTGTATTCAAAAGAAAAAGAAAGACAAAGTATTTGTGTACAGTGCTTCACTGATTTGGGGGATGGCTAGTGCAAAATGCAAAAGAACATTTGTTGTTAAGTGCAACCAAATACTACTTTACAGCCTGAAATGGGTATGAACCCTTCTTCTTCTAATTTGAGCTTCTATATTGTTTAGATGTTTTTTGTCAGCTCTATAGCTCTTCTTGATTTCTTCTCATTTCATGCATCATCTGCTATTCATTCCCATTTCCAAGTCTTGTCAATCACCTTTAAAACGCTCTAAATAGAAATGAAAGGTGAAAGTTTGGCAGCTAAAGGCTGCAGGTGAATCAAAGAGCACCAAAAACTGATCCCCAACTCCACCGACACATGGATGTTTTCCACATTCACGCCACAACAATGTAAGAATACTTTAATGATTTCACACGGTTTACACTACACAAAGTTCATCTTCAACATTTCACAGCAGACACGCAGGATGTAGAGAGGACGAGGGCACCAGCCATGCAGAGCAAATATAGGTTTATTCAGAGGGAGCTGAGAGTACAGATGAGCCGGCAGCTAAAATGGGTGTTGAACTACAAGCATCCATTACTGCGCGGGTGGGGGTGGAGGGTATTTACAGTGAGGATGAAAGCAAAGATGTTTGGGTTAATGATGGTCAGCTGTGCCTCTGACAGATGAAGGTCGTCTGTGACTTTGGAGGTTGTTCAGTGGAAAAGCACTCCTCAGAAACCTTGTAACATATTAACAAATGTAGCTTTGATGAACATTACGTGGAATAACTTTCAACTGAGACACTGATTCCAGCTAAAATGACCCAGGCTCACTGATTTACTGCGTTGCAATCACACAAACAAACTAAAAGTGGAAGCGTCTGATTGTGTAACAGCTGAATCGGTACAGTAAAAGTTTGAGTTGCGGGAATAAAAGCGGGAAGATTGCTTTGCTTTTTCCTGATGATGGACGCTATTTGGAACATGTAGAAATTTTTAAAAATTACTTGTGTAACTTTTTATGTACATTAAACCAATTAAACTGTTCTGACTCAGTAACTTAGTTTTTATTTTTATTTTTATTTCGCTGGTTGGTTTTATTTCAAGCGAGATATTATTTTTATAATTAAAATTTTCATTTGTATTTTATTTATTTAGCGTGATATATAGAAGCTTTAAACTCACTAGAGAAATTTGCTGTCAATTAAAAGAATTTGGGCTACTGTCTCAAAATTGTGACTTCACACTAGTTACATGTGATAGAATTTCAAATAATGTCAAAAATTCAAGTTGGGCATTTTGAAATTCTCAGTATTTCAGAATAATCAAAAATTTTCACATAAACTGAAATTTTAAGAAAACGACTGAAAGTTTTGACAAATTTTCTGGCAAATTTTTTTCAACGTACATTTTTTCCGTTGGCAGAAAGTTTCCATAGTAACCGTTCTAATTTCAATATAATACATTTCATATCAGTTTACAATTCCACTCTTTAATTTCTAATTATATTTTTATGGTGTTTAAACACAAATCTAACAACATAGCCAAAAAATAATATTATGAAATAAAGTCACCTTCATTTTTTTAAATTACATAAACATTTATTGGTTCATTTATATCACTTACACAGTTTATTCACTTTATAAGTTGTTTTAAATTCGCTTACCACTGAACAGTTTGGGGCTCTGTACCTTCACTTACACCTCAATTTGTCTCTAGAGGGATATGTTAGAATAAGTGTAGTGCAAATTGCTCATGCTTGGCTAAGAAGCACAACCAAAGGGTAATATTAAAAATCAGAGCATTTAAAGCTGGAACATGGGGACAAGCACAATGGTTAAGTCAGTGTGCACACAGTCTAAGAACGTGGGGAAAAATGGGTTTGGAGGATTTGCAAAGACGTCAGTTATGCACGTTGATCAAGATTGCTATTAACGAATGATTCACATTTAACAACAACATCAGTATCTGCACACATGAACACAGCTGGGATGTCCAGGGGGGCACTTCAGGGTCACATTACAATCAGACTAAGGTCAAGGTTCACAATTACATCTATGATTTATACCTTTACAATTAAACAACAACAGCATACAGAGAAATATGCAATATATACATAATAACTTCACTATTGGACAAAAATGGGATTCATCCCACATGAATGTGTCAGCCTGACTTTAAAACCTTCATATATTCCTGTTTAAATTCTCCCACTGAGAAGTGCAGACAATGCTGCCCCACAGTGGCAGACTAAAGTAATACAAATGTCATATGGACGCACATGCACCAGAAACAGGCAACATGCTTAAATGATATTAATGTTACATTACAGCCACATGGAAACAGACCACAACACATGTCCATCACTGAAGACACAAACAGCAGAGGAGCGGGTACGAATGTTTGGTCAGCTGAGTGAGGGTAGAATAACAGGATAAGGAAAAGGATGCTGATATGGACAGAAGGCACTTTGGAAAGATAAGGAGTCCCACAGTTACAGTAATAATAACAGTAAAACAAAATAAATAGATAAACAAAATCAGCATCTCTGAATTGCAAATGTGTGAATCTTGAAGTGAAAAACAAAAGGATTAAATAATCATTTCACATAAATTAGAGGCAAAAGATGGTTAGCTTAGCATAAAGCCACAAATCATTGTTATATCGACCTTTTCGCATCGATAAATAACTTGATATGATCTTCAGTGAGCTGAGGAGAGGAGCTGGAAGGCGGTTTGCCATGTTTGGTCAACAGCAGGCTTCTGTTTCTCGTTTCTGTAGCTAAGTTAACCCAATCATAACCCAATCATTGCTGTTGTTGCGACTTCATATTTAATTTACAGCTTTGAGAATGGATTCATTGAGTAAGGTTGTAACTGTGGTTGTTACCACCGTCTGTAACTGCTGCTCGAGCTAGCGTGACATAAAGGAAGCGGATGCCTGTGCAGCTTCTTTAGGAAGTTATATCATTTATGCTTATTTCATTGCAAAAATTGAAAACATTGTCGTTTTAAAGAAAAATATAGTTGTTGATTGATGATGTCACCTATAATCTAAGCCAGGTTAGCTCTTTAGCTCTTTTGTGTTACAATGAGAAGAACAAAAGATGTGCTAGCAGATCCAAAAGTTAGCTTTTTAGCCAAATGCTAAGTGAAGCGACCCCGTTTACTAAAACCGAGTTATTGGTTTGCAGTGTTAATTGTTGCGTGCACCATCTTTGTGCGCACTGCCCTAAAGAGAATGCATGGGAAAATATTGCAATAAAGTTTTGCTTAAATGTAAATTTTATGAAACAGTTTTTGTGTATTTACAGAAAAAAAATGCACAATAAAGTTTCGAGGAATAAAAACTGACCTAAAGCCACCTGAACAGCAGATTAGAGCACAATGAATTCTTATTGCCATTAATGCTGATAGACAGGTTGCTTGACTTCTTCCTATAATAAATATGGTCACTGAGAAACACAGAATAAACAGCATATAGGATACGTAACATACACGTCACTGGTGTAATACATAAATCCAGTGTATCTGAGGCTGTTTGAGGCTTATACTGGATGGTTTATTCCTTTAGTTAACGTCACGGACAGATCTACCAGGTCACAGACACACGACTATTATAAATATTAAAGTAACGATGGCCTTATTATTGCTGATCCAGCACACGGTGCAGATGGAAGGGTTTTGCTACAGGTATGGCACAGCTCAGTACAGCAGGTCGTGTTGTTTTTCAGCAGCGCACCACACAAAAGCAGCAGGAAATTTAAAAAAAAGAAAAAAGAGGCAGAGAGTCGGATAGAGCGACGTGGAGCTGGAAGGAAACGGCTGATGTGTTGCTGTGTGCTGTCAGATTGTCACGTGGAGGCTTTGAGATGCAGCCAGTCACTCTCAAACTCACTCTGCTGCCATTCGCTCTATGTGCTCAGTCAGCAGCTTGTACTGTTCTGCAGAGGGACAAAATACATGCGTTGTTCTTCCACACGTAAAGGAGCCACTTTTTTATTATTTACACACAGTTTATGATCACCGACAGAGCAGCTGTGCATACAATGAAAACAAAAATATGAGATGGCATTTGGGTATTTTCTGATTACTGAATCACAAGTTTCTACCAGAAGACAACAGAAAAAAAAATCCTTATCTTGAATTTTTAAATGATAATTTCAACTTTTAAATAACTGCCTTTTATTATCCTTATATATGAAAACATTGATCCGTGAATACAAGAAAACTGGACCAATCCAAGGCTACTTCCTGCTTTACCTTCATTCAGGTTCCCAATAACTGCCTGCTTCTTCAGGAAGTCATTGCAGAGCTTCCTACTCAGACCAAACGCCAGCATGTTGTGAGTGAATGTCCTGAAAATACACACAGCACCAACATCGTCTCAGTACAAGAGGAAAATATCACAAACACACAATAAATATTGTGCAGTCGTTGGCACATCCTCAGGGTTGTCACAATAACCGTGTTTTACAGTAACTATACGACTGAAACATCTCAGTAACAGCATTACAGATATTATAGATTACACATGTAATATTATGGTATACATGATAATGGCGAAACAAAAATCTGCTATTGGGACACACCAATACGCCCAGCTGCAGAGGTTTTGTAGCCACCTCTCACCTTTTATTAATCATTTTCATGACTGTGGACTTATGCAGGACTAAAGTAATGGGCCCACCTTTTAATCTGTATTTAATCAGTATTGCATTTAATCTGCAATACTGTCTGCATTAACAGACATTGCAACACGTGCGTGGCTCTGTAACACCACTGTTACCACTGATGCAACAAGTCAGTTTGTGAAATTTCTGCCATGCACACGTTTCACGATCAGCTGTAAATGATGTTACTGCAAAGCGGAAGCATTTAGGAACCACAGCCGCTCGGCCACCAGTCGTCACGTCATGTAAAGTTACTGAGGGGGGGATCTGAGTGCCGAAGAACATAATCTGCATTAACATCAGCGCTTAAAACGTGTGACGGGGGCTTCATGGCTGAGCAGTGAGCCTCACATGAGTGTTGTAAACGTGGAAAAACACTTCTCAGTCTGACGGATGAGTCACAGTTTGACCAATGCCAGGAGAACGTTACAAAAAAAAGGCGGTATAGCTACATTTAATGTAAATTTTTTTTTTACATACACTACAAAAGTGTGATTTATACATCAAAGCTTATTGTAGAGGTTCAGAAGTTATGAGCATTAGTCATGAATCTACACGTGAGGTGCTACTGTGCGCCCACACGAGCAACAGAAAGGTGACTGAAACCATCTCATTTGTTGTTTGAGACACTAAAAAGATGTTCAGATTATTTTATTAATTACCACTTATTATCTCATCACCTGTGTTTTGTAACCATTTTATTACCTCCACCTAGGAGCTCATGTTTTGGTTTGTCATTCGGTCTGCACCATCTGATTTTACTGCACTGCAAACTTCTTAAAGTATGTTTAAAAAAATGAATATACAGAAAATAAAATACTATTCCCTTCAAAGTAAATATTGCCCAGAGAGCGAGCTGCCCTGGCGGGCGTTCGCGCTCCTTGTTAGGATTTCTTTCTATTACTACGTGGAAATCACGGAGGTGTTTTGGTTACCCCAGCTGGCCAAAGGCGATGTTCTCATCGATTTTGTAGCTGTCCTTCTTCTCCTCATCAGTCATGTGACACCACTTCTCCCTGCAGCAAAAACACAGTCGCAGTCAGACTTCAGTTCCACTCGACCTTCAGCTCGTCCACAGGAACAGGTCAGGGGTGGGTGTCACACAAATATCGCATCCAGCAAGGTTTCTTTACACAGAACATTGTGATTTTTTTAAACTATATTGTGAAAAGCCAAGAAAAACCAAACAAGCATGACATCCAACCCTGTGACTGTCACTTTCATTTCATTACACATATAAGACACGAAAGAGGACAATAACCAGCCATCAGCGAAAAGACAACAACAAATGATTCATTCACAAAGAATCATCATTGTCAACACATGAAAAGCACTGATTTGGACTTTACTGCTGCAAAACAAATATTTATGAATCTGGAAATGTTTCCAGAGGTCTTTGATGTGAGTCCATGTTCATTTTCTCGTCTATGTCGATGATGCAGCTTTACATGTGTGCTCCGTTTGTCTCTTATAATTTACATTTGACAGTTTTGACTCATTTGTCCTGAATTTGAATTAAATCTTTTATAACGCTTGAAAAAGAAGAAAACATGCCGTCGTCTGTCTTTGAAGCAACACTCCACAAACTCCCCGAATAATGAAATCTTATCTGAGTCTGTCCTGGAAAAACAAAATCAAAACTATAAGTTGAAAATGAATTCATGACTTCTGTCACACACAGACGGCTATGTGTGAATATTTTTTATGCACTTATTATTATATCCATTGCTAACATCATATATTTGTCAAGGCAGAAATGAAAGAAGATCAAACATGTTACATTTTTTACATTTTTAAATTCTTATTTTTGCACGTCTATATTTAGATGTAACCAGTCTGCAGTGTAAGTACAAAAGCAAGCACACACACTGATTTTTAAAAAAGGCAGGAGAGGGGAACATGCAGATGGAGTCAGAGGAAAAAAAATGCAAGCAGATTAATGGTTTGAACATGCAGTGAGCTGTGAAGAGGCAGAGAGCATCTCCAGACTGCAGTGGATCTGCTGCCATCTATAAATACCATCCCAGACATTATACAAGCCCTTTTTGCACATTCCGGATATTAACTGTGGGTGTGATGCTCGTCAGAGGTAGGCACAAAAATCACTTCAACTGCAGCGTGACAGAGCTGCGCCCGACAGCCCCGACATGCCAACAGACGTCGAAGAAAGAAAGAAGAAAAAAATGATCTTCACATCTCACCGTGCTCTGATTATGCAGATGTCCACATAGCACAGCTTCACATTACTCTCTGGTCATCACTAACAGAGGATCTCCTCTCACGGTTCACCGGAGCACATGTGACAAATCAGACCCGGGGCGACTGCCAGACCTCGAGACTCAAGTTCTGACATCCATCGGACATTTTTGGGGTTTTTAGCACAGATTCCTTCAGATTTCCATCTTTATTCACCCATCAGAACATCTGGCGAGCACGGCTGTCGTGCAGTGAAATTGGAGGTCGTCTGTTTTGGTGACTATGGAGTCAGAGTGTCACCATACTAATCGGTCTGGCACAAATCAGTGACGCATTTTAAAAAGCTGTAACGTTCACAATGCCGGGTGTCCACACCGCCCACCGCCCGGTGGTGTGACAACAATACTCCATCAGCCTTTTACGGCTGGGGGTAAAGACTGTTAATGGTTGTAACACTCGTGACACAGAAGTCATTTTTGTTGCTGTGGATGTTTGAGCTGTCAGCGTTCATACTCATCCATCCAAGTCATGCATGGATTTGTGGAGTCACCGCTTCCTATGAGAAATGAAGCTACTCAGTGAGTTCACAGTTCCTTTGCATTATTAACCAGATGAGGTGGTTCTCGCAAGCTGCTCCTCAGCAGGCTTCCTGACCTTGGCCAATCAGAAGAACGTGGATTTTAAGGTCCCCATTTCAACTTAAGGGGATAGCTTAGCTTCGCTGACAGTGAATCAACCACAAATAACGTAAAGAGAGACAACACCAAAGCAGAAGGAAGCATTAATATAGAGAAAATGGGCACTGCTGTGTTTTCTGCTCTAAACTTTTAATACCAAGCACAGCAAACAACAGGGGAAAAGTACTTGACTTTTAGCTAGCAAGGAAGCTATAAAGCAGGCAGACCTCAGTCCAGCAGAGCGCCTTCGGGACAGGAGATTCACATCACTGCAGCAACTCTGTGATGCTAACGTGTCAACATGCACAAAATCTCTTCCATGAAGAATTACGGCAGCTCAACAGAGGCCCGACCTGCTACTAACAAGGTATCCCTAATAAAGTGGCCCTCTGAGTGTAGTTTGGCTTCTGTCTTGTATATTAGCAGGAAGTGGTATGTACCATGCAAAGTGCAGTATGGCAGCAGCAGAGACCTATGTAAAGACCTATGTCATTCACATTCTCAAAGCTCTCTGTCCCCTTCAGGTTTAGTCCTCATGAAGATCTGCCCTTTGCCTTCTCCTCCACCTAAACTTTGATCTTTGCTTGTTTTGGTTTTTTTGGACAAACAGAGGGACAGACCTCACATCTTTCTCTTCATCCTGCGTTCCCCTGCCCGGCAGCAAGGCACAAGGAGACAAAGGGTTAAAGTCAGCATGCAGAAAAGGAGAGAACAATAGCAGCTTTTAGAGAAGGAGAAGGAGAGGAGAGCAGACAGGTGGAGAAAACAGAGAGAAAACAGGTGAAGAGGGGGCTAGAGGCAACAGTAGCAAATATTTCATTTAGACAGGAAGTGACAAAGCAATAGGTGCTCCTTTAAACTCTAGAGATTCATATTTCCATCATTTACACGAAGCTAGCTAGTATTAAACAGACTCACCTCGTGGTCGGAGATCTTTTCTTCCTCTCACAATGGACAGCATCAAAAAAGGCGGCGTTCCAAAATCTCAGCGTGTGCCTGACAGACAGAACATGGACACGTTTCAGGCTTCACGCCTCCACCAAACAGCCAGAAATAACCGTCACCTCTCCAGGCACAAAGAGGCTCTGGTATGATTCATACTGCAATGCTAAACATTTCTAACATGTGCAGTTCCCAACGCGCCGGTAATGACTCAGTGAAATTGGGGTGGGGGGGTGGGGGGGCAACAATGTGTAGAAGCTGCTTTTTGAAATTAAGCAGTAAACCGAACAGAGCTCCTTTTTGCGTCGTGCCACTGATTTGAAATGTTACCTTTTTGTTTCTCATCACTTTCAGTTCAATATTGTTACTTTTTAATTTGTAACAATTTCTGTTATATGGTCACATTATGACATTTTGAACAATGACTGTGAATTAATGTTGTTTTTCATCTCCTAATGTCATACAGTTTATGCCATAATACACTTAGGTTTTGTGCGTGGGATCATTGTCCTGTTTCATGACGCAGTTTGGGTCGAGCTTTAGCTGTAGCACAGACGGCCTCACATCTGACTCCAGAGGACGGCCGGTACTGTCAAGAACTTTAACATTAAACATGCTAACTATGGAGCTTTAGGCTTTTTGCATTTTCTCTGAGCGACACACGGTCATTCTTTGGGGTGAATTTCCTGACGTTCCCGACCAGCAAACCACCCAAACCTCTGCTTTTATAGAGGTGCTCACACGTGCTGATGATCAGTTCATCAGGTGCATTTGATTAGCATCACCTGGCTGCTACAGAACTCAGTGTATTCTAGTTTTCTCTTAATTGAGTCCCGTGAAAAGTTTCTTCCTCACATGATGTGATTCTTACCAGATAGGTTGCTGCTTCAGGTGAGTGTACAGGTACACCTTTTCCCCTTTCTTTTCCTCTGGAGCGCCTGACACTGAAGAGGAGGATGAAATATAACAGGCAGTGATGGACTCAGGTTTGTTTCTAGAACATTCTTTAAAAAAGTAAGAGCACTGGAGCAGCGAAGTGAAATAAAAAATGATTTCTGAGCTACGATACCTGGTGATTTAGGCTTCGTCTCCCCCGGATTTTCCCCATCACTGCAAAACAGATTGTAAGAGTGAGGAATACAGTGACAAGCGAAAGTGTTAATGAACAGACTCAAAGGAGGAGGTGCAGATGCTCACTCAGACTTGGGAGCCACTGAGCTTCTCAGCTTGCTCTCCAGGCCCCCAAAGAAGCCTTTGACGTCAGTCTTGGACGTGTGTTTAAGGAGGCGCTCGGCAGCGTCCTTCTTCCCTGACAGCCAGGTGTTAGCCTTGTTGAGATAAGAGTCCAGACCAGCTGGAGCACCACCGCGATCCAACAGCTCCGAGGGAGATGGCTGAGACTTTCCTGAGAAGAAAAGCTCAAAATGCTGAGTGCTAACGTTGCCTAACAGCATCTCCCAGCAGCTACCTGCTTTGCACCGTCTGAGGTGGGGGGTTATTTTCACAGGTGTTCACTGAAGTACTTAAAAAAAATAGGCCCGTGTGAGATTTAATGAAGTGAACGCTTCACTTTAGCCCAGCTGCAACTCAGTGAGCTGGAAACGAAAACAGTCATTAGTCTGTAAGATTGTGTTCACAACACAAAAGTGGAAACATGCTGTTACTCTGTGTTAAATCAGGGCTCTCTGCAGACTGCAGCAGACCTTTGTGTGTCGCTTTGCGCCGCAGTGCAAGTTGTTATAAGCAGAAAAAAATATTTAACTTAGCAGACGTGCCTGCAGACTCGCTGATGCAATGCACTGTGTCACAGTGGTGTACTAATCACTCAGTGCTTCCTGCTTGCATAAGCACAAACACTACCTTTATTTGTGATGCTGCTGCAAGAGAAACCACAGAGCCAAACCCTGCTGGTAACATTCCCTGAATCAGCACTGAGGTGTCTTGTTTTTATAAAACAGACACAAACACAGATGTCGGTCTTTTGCACTTTTGCAGCTAAAAGTTGGAAAAGAAAAGCCTTTAATTTGGGCTGCAGAGGCTCAGCAGCGTTTCTCTTAAAAAGCAACACCTTACAGTCGCTCTGAGGTGGCGTACAGACTGTTTTCAAGAACTTCAGCTGATCTTACCAACGTAATAATAAGTGAAGCACATGGTCATGAGGTTTTTTGCCGGGCTGTAGTCGTCCATCTGGTAACACCTGCAACAGAAAAACAAAACAAGAAAACACAGCATTTCTTCAGATGTGATCCTATGAAATGATGACTTTGGTGGAAAATATATGAACTAAATATTATGTAATATTATGTACTTTGTCTGTTTCTGTGGAATTTAAGCAAAAACCACTCAATGCTGAATTTTCTGAAACTTGTTGGAGAGGTAAACAAATGAAGATGCATTTACTGCCTTGGGTGTGTGTTTGAGGTCATGTTCATGCAGAAAATCTTCAGAGATCCTGGAGAATTATTGCTCAACAACACTTTAATGATCCCAATAAGGTCGGACTCGTTGGAAGTTAACAGTAAAGAAAAGAGGAGCAGCTCTTTCTGCACATTACTGCAAAGGTTTTACTTCTTTTTGTTTTGTGGCACAGTTCAATTTTCTAATATTACTTAAAGTTCCTTTTAATGTCAGAATGTAATGTTCTTGACAGATTTATCTGATCTTTCATGTAATCTGTGACTGATTATTAACAACTGAATAATCTTCAAATTACCTTGATAATGCACATAGAAGAATAAAAACCTCGAGCTAACGAGAGCGCCACCTTTGGTTCAGTTGCAGCAGCATTTGCAAGACGCAGCTTTGATTCCAGCTCTGCTAAAAACTTATGTCACATGACCACTTATTCAAAATGATGGCTCAAGTTCACAGTAAAAAAAAGTTACAGTTGGACCGTATTTACTTACTCAAATAGCACAACTGCAAAAGACTGCACGAGTCTGTAGAAGGTGGCCTCGCTCACACATTTGGAGTGGCAGCGCTGTGAACACAGTACAAGTACATGTCACTGCAAGGAAACAACATTTCAGGAGAATAGAACACCTGCGCTTCTTTCTTCACATGCATCAGAGTGATGGTTTTCCCGTCACACGACAAACAAGAAAACAATCGAAAACACATCTTTTTCAGCTAATGCCGTATTCACCAGATTCCCTCCTTCCTTGATTAAACCACAGCGTGTGGCTTTGCAGGAAATGACTGAGCCTTGAGCTATGAGCCCGTGAGATGCTTTTAAAGACTGTTCTCTCTGTAACAGCCAGTGGGCTCAATGTTGCAAACAGTAAACGAGTCAGAAGGACGATGGTGGTGTTGGTCAGGGTTTGCTGGTGGAATTTGTGGAAAGAGGAAAACAAATACAAAACAACAGACTTATCTCTGCGGCCACAGCTCAGCCGTTTCCTGTTGATGTGAGAACATCGAGAAGGCCAGAAGGAGCTGAGGATGCACAGTGTAAAATCTACACATGAGTTTATCATTTGTTTGAACACTCGTTTGTTTTTGACTCGAAACAAACCCGACGGGTCAGCAGCATCTGTAATTTAGGACTCAGGCACCTGTCTGCATGTAAAGACAGGTAAGCAAGAAGAAGAAGAAGAAGAAGAAGAAGTGCAAATGACTCCTTCAGTGAACTCTGATGGAAATTTGCTACAACTGGCAAACAAAGCCTTCACTGTGTCTCAGCTCTAAAGTGTTTGATGACTACCACGTCGGGCTGGAACCAATTATTTCATTTAATCTGCTGATTATTGTTTGGATTAACCATTTAGTCCATGAACCGTTTCCAATGCTTTGTTCTCGTTTGTATAATTTTGTTTGTTTAAGAAAGCAAACCCAGAGATACGCCGGCCTCTGGAACATTTATCAGGAGGGGATCAGGGGCCTTTCCAGAGACGCCGAGGCCGTTCAGCTGGATATCCAGGAGTCTTCTCAGCTGAGAAGACAGAACAAGTGGCACGTGTCTTAATATTGAGGACGTGAAGGATGAGATGCAGAAAGCTCAAGGACTTGAAGAACCACCATAACTAAAGCTCAGGAACTTTGCCAAGAACTCAAAGAGGTGAATGAGAAGCAGAGCTCAAAGTGACAAAACGGGAGGTGAGAATCTCGACAGAGAACTCCCGAGAGACAAAAAAGAAAGTGAAAA